CCTCACCTCTCTCACCCCAGACAGCCCAGAAAATGCAGAAGCCCCCTCCCCCTGCAAGATCCACCCACCTGGGTGCCAGCAGGGCTCAGGGCATCGCTTCACCCCTCAGCATAAGGACCCCCCCCCGGGCCCCTAAAACCCCAGCTTGGCGGGAGGAGCCGGGGCAGGGGGGCCTCGCTGGGGCTGATGCGCAGAAGAAGGAGGGAGGGGGTCCGCTGAGGAGCGCACGATCCCCTCTGTGTCATCACAGGTGCCCCTGACCGCTCTGCGGTTCCTAGGGCTGTGCGGGGTGGTGCCCATGGGTAGCCCAGGCCATCACGTGGGGGCTGCGGGGCCAGAGGGGACACAGATTTCCACTGGGTCTTGTAGATCGGGGACTTAAAAAAATGCTTTAGGGGCGCCTGGATGGCTCAGTCGGTTGAGCATCCAACTCTTGGTTTCAGCTCAGGTTGCGATCTCACTGTTCACGGGATGGAGCCCACACCGGGCTCTGCACTGACAGCCTGCCTGGGATCCTCTCTCTCCCTCCCTCCCTCTCCCCCCCCTCCCCCCCGCTCATGCTCACTCCCTCTCTCAAAATAAATAAATCAACTTAAAAAAATAAATAAATAACAATATTTAGTGCTTTAGTTCTTTAGCTAAAATGCTTTTAAGAACGTGTTTGTGAATAGTGTCACCTCCGTACAATGGAACACCAGGAGGCCGAGGGGAGGAAGCACTCGGAAGGCTGGCTGGTGCTTCCTGTTAAGTCTACACGGAGTGTGGGGCGGTGGGCACGGCTTTGCCCCTTACACTAAATGGTATAGGAGGTATATACAAATATACAATTAAGTTTTATAATAATATATATCATATGTGTAATACAGTGTATACCTCCAATAAACATATAGTTATATGTCTCTTTGACCCTGCGGGCTATGTTGAAGGCATGTGTGTGTGTTTGTACACTCACTGAAGCCTCATGGATGAGTAGACACCAAGTTTTGTGGGAAGGATGTGAAGGGAAGGAAAAGTTTTCAGCTTCTACTCTCTAGACGGTTGTTCTTTGCCACGAGAATGCATTTCATTAGTCGTTTGTAATCAATAAAATGTTTGGCCAATCTTATGCCAAATGATTGTATTGGTATTATTTCATATACATTATACAAAAGAAAAGCCAACAAGAAAAACCACGGCTGGCCAGAATAGAAGGGCCTAGAGTATTCATACGTGTTGAATGTGAGGCGGGAAAACCCTTTGAAGATCGTGTGTAGAAAACGTGTCTGGCGTTCCACCCAGTGATTCCAACCCTTGACTGACATCCTGGAAAAATTATCAATGTGCCCCAAATCATTGACCCAAACGTTCATCCCAGCACTTTCTGGAAACCCACGCTTCACTAAGTTGAGAAGGATCGGGGAACACGGTAAATTCACACGGAGGAGCAAGCCCCAGCGATGAGCCAGGCAACGAACAAACCTGAACCTGTGACCCAACGCAGGCAAATCTTAAAAACGGCATTGAAAGTGACCTGAAGAATTTCAGGTCAGAACAGAATGATACCATCTACACAGAGTTTTGAGAACAGGCAAAATAATATTGCCCGTTAATTATAGAGGCAATGGTACCAGGTGAAGCTATAAAGGCAGCCAAGGGAACGTCACACACGAATTCAGAATGTGCTCTGAGCTCGGGGAGGGAGGGGTGCCTGGATACGTCAGTTGTACCTGTAAGGTGCACTTCCTGCAGCTGGGGACGATGCCCGTTGTATTTTTAGCTCTATGGGTCGTGTCTGAAAAATTCTAAATGTTAAAAGTCCATTCAAGCAGCAGCCGTTGACACACTCATAGAGATGGGAGGTAGGACAGAGGGTGGCAGGTGGGGAGGGGGTGGGAGCCCCTGTGTCCCGGAATGGGGCTGATATTGGAGGTGGCAGGAAGTCCCGGGTAGAGGTGATGGCTGCACAGTACCGTGACCGTATCCAGTGCCGCCGAATTGTACGACTGCGATGGGAAAGATGGCAAATGCAACGCTGTGTTTTACCACTGTAACCCAAGGAGAGACAGATAGTCACTGGATCCTCACTGAGCCAGGCTCTGGGGACACGAGGTGAGATGCCGTCCCCATTCTGGAGACACAAAAAGAAGTCTTCAAACCCACGCAGCCTTCCAGAAGCTGCCCAAGGCCAAGCGCAGACAGAGGACGTGCATGTGGTCACATCCAGAAATGCCCTGCCCAACACCAGCTCTGGGAAAGACACCAAGCAGTGGCCGAGCCCCCGTCCACGTGGTCCAGGGCAGAGGGGATACTGATGGCCAGTGCCTTCAAGGTCACTACTGTGAGCCTCCCTTGGGCTCCCCGCCCAGAGCGATTCACCTGTGCAGAAAGGAGACCTTGGAGCAGTCAGGCCGCCGCTGGCAACGAGGACCCGGGAGGCCACCGATGCGTGGGGGGGCAGCGTGGGGGGGCGGCTGACACTGGCCTTGCTGCCTGGTGTGCTCCCTGTCCCCGAGCTGCCTCTGAGATCCAGGCGAGTGTCAGAACAGTCTGATGGGTAAGCAGGTGGTTTACTGCACAGTAGCCCGAAAGGTACCACCTAGAAGAACCACCCCCCCCCCCACCGCCCGACATCATCCTCAGCAACCAGATCCCCTGACTCATCCCCACCACGGCCACAGGCCTTGCATGCCAGGCCATTACTGAACCCTAATTTTAAGTCTGCACCACGCTAAGCACTTTACCGGTGTGAATCCACTCACCCTTGGGCGTTCTATCTCCCCCACTTCACAGATGAGGAAACCAGCACACAGAGCTGAACAAACTGGCTGAGGCCACCCCCTGGTGCCCGGGGCACAGGGATTGGGGCACCAACCGCCCCGTGCCAGAGTCCGTGCCTTTGACTGCAGAGTCAAATGGGCGTTAAATTTTGCCCGTTTATATAAAAATGAATCTGGGGGGGGGGACACACATCAGTTCACTTTCCCTTGTAACTACCTCACCAGTGGGCAAATGACGCATGGCAGTCGGCGGATGGCCTCTCAGCAAAGCCCACGGGTTTGGGAAGGAAGGGGAAGGAATAGTCCTGAAGCAGGGAGGACTGCGAGGCCTCGTGACAACCCAAGCGCCCAAAACAAAGGAGCCGTTTTGTGCGAGGAAAACGAACTGCTCAGAGGGCGCCGGGAGTCAGACGGCAGAGGGGCGGCCGTGGAGGCTTGCAGCCCTGGGGGCATCGATGGGTACCCGCTGCACACGGTGCACACAGCGGTGTGTTGAGACTCACGTTTAGAAATTTACATTTCAGATCTGAGCATGGTCGTCACGAAAACACCGCTCATCTAGTGACCAGAAGACTCGGTTTCCAGGCCTGGCTCTGCCAGTAACCGACAAGGACACCAGACGAGCTTCGTCACCGCAGGGCGCCAGGTGCCTCTTGTGGAGCCGTGGGTTGAGTGCGAGGCGCAGGAGGGACCCGTTGACCCGGATACTCTGCCTTCCTGTGAGTCACCCTGGGCTCCAGGGCTTTGTCACTGGGCTCACAGGGAACAATCAGAGTCAGAGGGTAGAGTCCACAGGGCAGGTGGGCTCATGGCCCCTGGTGGCAGAAGGCACTGGGACACCGGTGAAGGAGTGACTCGGGGCAGTAGTTTTCCAGTATTTGGATGGAAAAGTCCGCCGGACGCCCTGTCCCCGGGATGTCACGGGGCTTAGATCTGCCCCAAATGTGAAAAGAGCTGACGTCCCTGCTCGGCGTTATCAGCATGAGGCTTTGGATTCCAGATCAAGTCTGGTCCTGCTTGGAGAGAGGAATCAGGACTCACTGGTTAATTTGGTTTGAGTCACCACCAGAACTCTGCACAGGTCGTGATTAATGCTCGTGCTATTTAGGGAAAGAGTCACAAAGCAACCAAAATGCTTCTTCCTCTTGCCCTGCCTCCAACCCCACTTGGCTGGCACTGGGCCTTTGTTTTACCAGAATAACGCAGACAGAGCTCGACCGTGTGGACCACACAAACGGGAGCCTCAAGCAACCGGACCGTCTCCCTGCGCATTCCCTGCGACCAACAGGCACTCGGCACAGAGCGGGCTTGGGCTACAGGTGCCGGGTTCCAGCTCTGTGCCTGACGGAACAACAAAATGTTTCTTCAGCAGCCCCCACGGCTTGGCCAGACACTCAGGATCTGACCCCAAGGTCAGGACCGACAGGCTCGGCCGCCTTCTCTGCCCTCCGTGATGATTATCTAGGACGACAGTCCCCTCCTCGTAACCAGGAGATCGCAAGCTGAGGCTGATCCTGCAAAGGCAAACAGCCACCAACTTCCAAAAGAAGGAGGTCTGAATGAACGTTTGAGGACAGACTCTCATAATTTTTGCCTGACTCCTTAAGGGCTCATTTTTTATTTTTTAAAGTGTTTGTTTCTTTTTGAGAGAGGGAGAAAGACAGCGTACGAGCCAGGGAGGGGCAGAGAGAGAGCGGGACACAGAATCCGAAGCAGGCTCCAGGCTCTGAGCTGTCAGCACAGAGCCTGATATGGGGCTCAAACCCACAAACCGTGAGATCACGACCTGAGCCAAGTCGGATGCTCAACCGACTGAGCCACCCAGGCGCCCCGGGCTCATTTTTAATGAAATATGTCCACAAGTATCAAGCTGGGGTAAGAAACGAAGAAGATACCCTGACACTGAAATAGTGCAGCATTTCTGTCTGAAAAACCTCCAGTCGCTCCCCTGCCGCTCACACTGGGAGTCATGGACTTCACCACGCCCCCTACCACCTTCCCCTCTTCTCGGGAATGTGATCAAGAAACAGGCTGTAACCCAGCTGTCTCCCAAGCTCTACCCATCAGCAGTGTTTGGGGGACAGGGCCCCCAAGATAAAGAGTCCCGAAGAACCATTCTTGTCCGCCTGTGAGGCCACATGAATGCAAGTATCTCTCTATCTGGCCACCAACTGGAGCAGAGACAAAACATTCACCTTGGGACATCTTCCGTTTCACTTGGAGCAGCTTTTTTTGGTTTTTTTGGGAGCTTGTCACTTGGGGCAGAGCTCAGCCCCACTCACCAGGTGCTGAAACATGAGTTTACTGAAGGCCGGTGCTACAGGGGGCTCAGATATTAGCACCTAAAACCCAGAATAACTACAGTGGGGTCATTTTCCATCACCCTTAGGTGTCCTCCTAGAAATAAAGAAAAAATGAATAGATGAAACACAAAAATATAAAACATCTGGGCAAAATCAGAGTCTTGAGAACATGCCTGCAGCACGTGTGGTAAGGAAAAGTGGGTGTCCTCTGTGAGCCGCCGGTAGACGCAGAACTGACACGAGAGGAAGTTGAGCGGCCCGCAAACACCGACTTTGCAACCAGGCAGGTCTTGCACACGCAGCGAGCCCCGTGCGCTGCGTGTGCACACGCCCTGCGGGGCGGGGGTGAGTGTGCAGTGTAAACGTTTGTGCCTCCATCCTTCTGCAAGATGATTCCACGACACCCGCCATGCGGCCTTAAAACCATTCGTGTACTTCGGTCCACCAACTCTGCTTCTAGAAATCTATGCCGAGGAAGCAACAAAATATTGCTAAGGAAATCATCCAGCGTTGTTGACAGATAAGAACCAAAACCTTGTTTGTAACAGATAAAATTCAAGGGGCCCCTGGGTGGCTCACTTCGGCTCAGGTCGCGATCTCGCAGTTCGTGAGCTGGAGCCCCACATTGGTCTCTGTGCTGACAGCTCAGAGACTGGAGCCTGCTTCATGTTCTGTGTCTCCCTTTCTTCCCCTCCCTGCTCCTGCTCTGTCTCTCTCTGTCTCTCAAAAATGAACAAACGTTAGAAAAATTTAATAGAAAAACATTCAAACCAAAAAAGCATACCCAAATCATAGCCCGTTATTCAACCATTAAGACAAATCCTATTTACAAAGAATCTTTAGGAGTCTAGAAAACATGTATGAAGTAAACATGGGAGAATGCGATGTTTTAATAGGCTGTATGGCTCAACCATTTAACATACGTATAAGAACAGAAAGGGAGGCAAACATAAAAGACTCTTAAATACAGAAAACAAACTGAGGGTATGCGGGGGTAAGGGGTTGGGGAAGGAATACATTAGCAAGTCAGAGTGGACATAACTGTGGTTTTCGTTTTCTTTCTTTTTCCCCCTTTTTAAGTTTCAATATTGTATAAATGTCTGTACTAGACATTTACAGTTCATAACATGTCTACTATTAGACATTGACCCCTACGACCTACACCCGTGTTTAGGTGGTGTCCCGGTAGTGGTGATGGCACGTGCCGTCTGGGTGTGGCAGGGCAAACCCGAGTTCGGGACACCTTGAGGATGCAGGTTACTGGGATCTCGACCCAGCAACCCAGAAGCCGCCCCCTGCCCTCCCGCTGGCACGGGCCACCCCTCTGCCTCAGGCTCTTCTGGAACGCAGAAGCCACTAACCTGTTTGTGTCACTCCCCTCGACTAGACGCTGCAACTCTTGGGAAACAGGTCTTACCCGTCACCGTGCCTCCAGTCTAGCCTGCCTCCTGCAACGTAGTAAACACTCAACACATGCATGTTGAACAAATAATTGGCATGTGACAGGCATCAAATACCCCCTTGTCGAACCCATAGGAGCAAGAACAAAACAGCACAAGAAGGGAGCAGGCGGGGGGCTGGGATAGTCAGCGAGCTGTCTCCAGGTCAGGAGTTGCCATCAATCACGCACCCCAGGAACCGCACAGCACCTCCAGCGGCAACCCTGGGGGGGCAGGAACCCCCTCCTTCCAGGGCACCCCCCTGGACCCCACACCCTCCCACCACTGCACATGCTTCGTTCCGGGAAGGAAGTGGAAAACACATTCCTTTCATCCCTCAAATGGTCAGGTCTCCACCTCCATCCCGGGGTGATGGATATCCTCGTGCCCCACGGGCACATCCCCCAGGCTGCCCCACGGAGCTCGTTTGGAGGAAAGCCTAGAAGGTGCAGGCTGGGGTGGGCACCCTGGGTGGCTCACACAAGCATGGAGAGCTGGAGGTCACCCAGCCACCTTCGGGCATCTGGTCACCCACTGCCACCTCAAATGAAGACTTCTTTACAGAAGGGCCCTTCTTGCCATGATAAGAAATGTAGACACACAGTCTGATGATATTTTAAACCTAGTCTATTCTAGGGGCACCTGGGTAGCTCAGTTGGTTGGGTGTCCGGCTTTGGCTCAGGCCCTGGTCTCACATTCTGTGAGTTCGAGCCCCACATCAGGCTCTGTGCTGACAGCCCAGAGCCTGAAGCCTACTTGGGATTCTGTGTCTCCCCCTCTCTGCCCCTCCTATGCTCATGCTCTGTCTCTCTCTGTCTCTTGATAATAAATAAACGTTAAAAAAATTTTTTTAAATCTAGTCTCTTCTAGAAAAACCAAGAGCATGGTTATTAAACTTGTGTCCCCTGTAAAATGCAGAGACAAGAAATTAAAAAGTGAGCCCTTCATCTCCTTGGTTATTAGAGGGAGGAAAGATACTTGCAAGCAGTGGCCAAGTTCATTGCTGTAAGTCGCAAACTTCACAAAAATCTTGGAGCTGGTGTGCAAAATTACAGTAAGAAAATGTTCACCTTGTTGAGATTCCATAAGGTAGATTTTTCTCAGCCGGGTCAAGACGCCTCCACACCACAGCCCAGGGCTTGGTGGCTAACAGGCAGCTGCGTGAAGGCTCTGTTTGGGAGGAATATCCGGGCTCGTGTCTCAGATGGGAGGACGCGACTCGGGGGGACGTCTTCACTGTCATCAGAAAGGAACAGCATCATTGCCACATACTAAGCAGCGGGTCACGGGCCTGACGCTCACCTCCGTTTTGTGGCAACATCTTCCGGTCCTGGTCCCCTGTGATGTACAAGCAGTGCCCTGCCCCCCCCCTCCCCCCGACCCTGCACGCCCTTCATCTGAACACCAGGAAGGTCCAGTGCCCGACGCGGGATATGCCAGGTCTGGGCAGATTCTGGACAACCCGGAGCCTCGGGAACAGCACAAGGCACAAGAGAGGCAACGTCGGCCCTACCCGTGAATTTCCTGAATTCTTCGGTTTGAGTGAGTTACCAAAAAAATCCCGGACAGAAGTACTTTTCAGTGCAAAAGAAGGAAAGCTGGGGAAAACCCAGATCTCCTCTCTTTGGAATTCCTGAAGCCTTCTCTGGATTCTTAGGGACATAGTTTGGCAGAGGGTCATGATCTGATTACTTCTGTGCTTCGAGAATGATTTCCAGGTGACTTCATGTAAATCAAAGATGGTAACCCTTCTCTTGCAAAGAAGGAACATCCCTGACGCCCCACAGAGCACGCGTGATCTCCATCCTGCACGAACCAGCTGGTTCCGTGAAGACACAAGAGAAAACACAAGACACTGCTCCTGCCTTCAAGAATTTGCCAGAAACTAGAATTAAGAATTTTTTATAGGAAAAAGCTGGTCCTAGGACACCACATACACTCATGAATCACCCACGGGGGTGCCAGGTGCCAGATGCCGTAAGGAACCCCAAGCTCCCAGAGCCGGCACCTGCCTCCCAGCGTCACAGTGTGGCCTACGTGAGGGGACTGTCATGGTGCTTCCTTGTGGCCATGAAAGCACAACTCACGTCCAAACAGAACAGCCACCTTACTGTCCTCTAAAACGTAAGCTCCCCGAGGGAGGGGACATTGGTTTGCCACCTCGGCATCTCAGAGGGGCATCTGGCACAGCCTGGGTTCTTAGACAATACGTGTTGGATGAGTAAATGTATTGTCTCCTGCAAATCATCAGGCCACTTGGGAAGGAATATTTTGGACCATGGGTCTATGCTTCTAGAAGGGAAATATCTAAAACCTTCTGTGCGACACATAATAGGAAGGCCAAAAACCGTCCGCTTATCCCCAGGGCGTCATAATCATTACGAAACTCCCCTCCAGAAGACACCCATATGTTCTGCTGTTTTCACGCTGGGGGCCGTCCCTACCCTTTCTCTGTCTTTCCTTATTGAGGAACCGTACCTGAGACCACATCCAACCATTTAGGCCTTTTCACCGTAGGTGTTAACCCATAAAAGAAATCACAGTGGCTCCCCTACCCATCACCATTTAATACATCAGACGAGCCATCTCAGTGGCCTGATGTAATGGCATTTATGGGCACTGGCAAAGTCATGACCACTTAACCGGAGCAATTAAGCCGTGCCTTGCTCTTATTATAAGACATTGACTGGTGATAATTTATTTTTTCCAATGCGACTGACACAGAAAAGGTGATATGCATACCTACAGAACATTTGTATCAAAAAACCCCACTTCCTGCCATCATTGTTCATAGCTGCATTATACCTGTCCTCCGGGACGGTAGTGAAATACTGCTTTCACGTGGGCTCGAGCATATTTAGCGAGGCATCCCCAGAACCGGGCGCTATCATAGAACCCCAGAACTTTTCTAGAAATCAGAGCAGACCTCAGCCAAGCTTCTCACGGATCAGAATACCAAGATCCAAACACCCTGGTGGCCACCAGCCCCTGTTCCACCAGGAGAGGGAGGAGGGACAGGACCCCAAGTCTCCACCCGGAGGAAGAAGGCCAGTTGAGGACAGGGCTTTAGGAGATCTTTCTGAAGCTGGGATCACTAGATCAAAAGCTGTGCACATTTTAAAATAGAGGTTTTTAAAATAATCTTAAGAGATTCAAGTCTACACACGGTTTTGAATAGAGCTTTAAAATATCTGTCCCCCCAAAGTGGGGGGGAGCTAATTCATACTCGCCTCTACCTGTGCACCTTTCCCAAAGTCGAGTGTCAGCTTTAGACATCCGTTGCTGGTTTGATGGGCTGGTGGGCAGGTCTGTTCTTGGAGAGGAGCAAGCGGAGGAAGGAGATGCCGCGGTCAGGTGAGGACAGACTGTTCCAGAAGCCCACCCGGTGGTTAGGCCTCTGCCGTACGTCTCCTCGTCACAGCCCTGCTCATCAGAGCTATCCTGAACCCTGTCTGTCCCCGGTGCACGGGCCCTGGAGCTGGCATGGTCTCCTGTCATTGGACAGACCCAGGCCGGCCACCTAGGGCCCTGCTGTGTGTTAACCCCAAGGTAACACGCAGATTCTCGTGTTTTCTGTGTGTGCCAGGATGGGAAAAAGGGAGCGACAGCCAGGCCAGATGACATGTAAATGCCCTGTACAGAGGCTATCAGCCGCTCTCTGCCTTCGGCCACTAACTGCCTGCAACACACACTAACTACCTCTTCTGGCTTCAGGTCACCTCTCCTGCTGCCCAGGGCCCCCTGTCGTCACCACCCGGAACCACACACGCACATGCTCCACCGCCCCGAAGGAAAACCGCCATCACAGCACAGCTGCACTGGCCCCTTCTCCACCGGGGCCCCTCTCTGCCGGGTACAGTTGTTCAAGCAGAGAGACAGAGCATCGTCTGGTACTGTCTCTCCCGGGGAACGTTGGTACCGTGGCCATCTCAGGACCTCGGCCAGGTGGGACACCGTGGGACGGGGGCTTCGGGCCCTTCACCGGCCTGGCCTTGCAGAGCCCTGTCTGTGAGACTGTCCTCCTGGGCCGTGGGCCCCTTGCCCCAAGCCCAGCAGCCCCTTTCCTCTTCTGCACGCAGTCCCAGGGTTGGGGTCCGGCAGTCTTGCACCTGCTGCTTGTCCTCATCCTCTGTCTTCAGACAGCACCTCTAGGGCCATCTTGCTGAAGAGAAAATGTAGGCCCAGCCTAATGATCATAGGCAGGAACAGCAGGACCCAAGCCCGTCTCCACAGCTCCCGGATGGAGGGCCTGGGTGCTTTATTAACCTCTCAGTGCTCAGTCTCACCTGTAACACGAGGATAAGGGCAGCACCGTCTTTCCCAGGCTTCTGTGAGTTTTAAAAGAGTGAATATGTGTAAACGTTTAGGATGGTGGCTGGCTCAAGGTGACATTATGCAAGTGACAACAATAAGGGTGTTTGTGGCAATGGGGACACTACACAGTGGTGATGATGATGATGATGGTGAAGGTGGTGACGATGATGATGGTGATGGTGGTGATGGTG